CAATTGTATTTATAGTTTAATAAAGGAGATTAATTAACTTTGATCAAAATAAAATTTGTTCATTTTGGAAAATAATTGGAAAAATTTTCTTGAATGATTTTGAAAAAAGAATACTAATATTAATTTTCATCCGAATCAAATGTTAATTAAAATCATTGAATTTGGGATGTAATAGTTTGAAATTGCTGTGAAATAGAGATTTTCTCAAAGTGGATCAGCGTGAATTTAAATCGGATAACGTCACCACTTTTCTTTCCCGTTTTCTCAAAATAATATCGAATTAGATGTTGTGCATAAGCCAAGTTGGCTCCGGTCCCCAGGCGCCGTCTAGTGCACCTTCGAACATTGCCACTTTGTTTTTACTATACCATTATTTTGTAACTGAATCCTTTAAAAAAAGTTTAGTTTACTTGGCACTAAATATAGATGTTGAAGATAAAATACAAACAAATAGGCTACATATAAATTATCCACTGTAGTACAATGCATTAAATCTATTGAAACTAATCATTTATTATTAATTTTTTTGCTGTTAGTTTTTAGATTTTTCCTATTTTTTAATACTGCACATCAGCGTTTCTAAATCTATGGCGTTAATTTTACGTAATGACAGCTGTCAACATTATGTCAACTGGTGAATACATTCCTAGATATTGGACACGGTGCAACTACAAACAAATATATGTTGTTCCTAATGCTATAGTTTCTTCAGTTCTGAAATTAACTTTAATTTTCTCTTTAAAACTGATGGCTTAACGTATATAATGTGTTACAGTTGTTGCAACGCAGATTGAAGGTCAAGATGAAACTTTACGAACGACCGGTGAATTGCGAAGAGCTTGCTCGCGTCGTGGAGCAGCAAAACCGCCTCCAGGAAGAATAAACACCAGCGATCGTCTGAAAGCTCTGAGACGCGTCATGCAGATGGACACGATCATCCAAACTATATCAATCGATGCGTACATCATAACTTCCGATGATGAGCATCAAACGGAATATGTCGCACCTTACGACCGTCGAAGGGAGTACATTTCCGGTTTCAGCGGAAGCAGCGGCGACGCCATCGTGACTCTGAACAAAGCAGCTTTGTGGACGGACGGTCGTTACCATCTTCAAGCTGATAATCAGCTGAACTGCGATTGGTTGCTGATGCGAGAGGGCCAAAGCAAAATTCCAACGAAATCCGACTGGTTGAAGAACGAGTTAGCAAACGGATCGCGAATCGGAGCCGATCCGAAACTGATGTCCGCTTCTGCGTGGAACTCGCTGAAATACGAATTGGATAATTCCACGTTGCATTTGGTGCCAGTCCACGTGAATTTGATCGATCTGATTTGGAAGAACCATGCGGATACGATTGCGGATAAGGACGCTTTCGTTTGGGAGTTTGAGTACTCTGGGAAAAATTGGACTACCAAAGTGGAGGAGACTAGGAATGAGTTGAGGAATATGGGTGTGCAAGCAATGGTTATCACATCTTTGGCGGAGATAGCTTGGTTGTTGAATATACGTGGCAGGGATATTCCTTATAATCCTTTCGTGAAGAGTTACGTTCTTCTCGGCTTGCACGAAGTCAGATTGTACGTGGATAGAAGCAAATTGGTGAAGAACGATGTGAACAAGCATCTGCGCACCGATTGGGGAGTTAGCACGACGTCTATAACGTAATAAGCATAGCAGCGAGTCAATGTAGGGATCATTCACAATTTACAATTTCAGCGTTCAAAATTATGAGGATATTTGGATAGATTTACCCACGTATCTTCAAGCCTGGAACACGATTCTTCTACCATCCAGCAGTCCGTTCAGCATGGGCGTGAGTCAGGCCATCTATTCCTTAGTTCCAGAGAAGAAACGACTATACAAACCTTCTCCTATCATACACTTGAAAGCGATGAAAAACCCAGTTGAAATAGCTGGAATGGAGGTAGCCCACATCAGAGATGCAGCAGCTATGTGCGAGTTTCTGGATTACCTCGAAACTAGAGTAATGCAGCACTTTAAATAATACTATATTATCCTTAAATATATATTATTTTTAGATAGGCGAAGGTGATATGTGGAGCGAATTGGATGTAGCAAAGATCATCAACAACATAAGATTCGAGCAAAATTTTAGCTTAGGAAACAGCTTTGAGACGATCGTCGCATTTGGCTCTAACGGTGCTTTACCACATTACGAACCAACTCCAGCCACAAACTCTATAATCTTTACCAATAGCACTTTAGTTATCGACTCGGGTGGACAATATTATGGTAACAACTAAAGCATTAACTTCATTTCAAAAAAAAATATTTAATTTGTCTTTATACTAGATGGAACTACTGATGTTACCAGGACCTTACACTTTGGTACTCCCACCAAAGAGCAGATCAATGCGTACACGAGGGTGTTAATGGGTAGTATCCAATTATCTTCTCTAGTGTTTCCTCCCAATATGAAGAGTTCGGTAGCCGATGTTATGGCTCGAGCGCCTCTTTGGGAAGTCGGCTTGGATTATATGCATGGCACTGGACACGGCATTGGCACCTTCCTAGGAGTTCACGAATGTAATATATTTATAAAATATATATTTTAACAGATCTATAATTACAATTAATTTCAGCGCCTATTTCGATGCACTACAACTCACGCAGCAAAGATCAACATCTGAAAGCCGGATACTTCCTGTCAAATGGTGTGTGCATTAAGCTGCGAAAGAATAACAAACATTAAATTTCTTTAACATCTTCAGAGCCCGGATTCTACAGTGAGGGTGAATTCGGGGTTCGTCTCGAAAATATATTGGAGGTGATTCCGAAACCTTGGCTACTCCACTACACCGGTCAATCTTTCTTAGGCTTCAAAGACGTTACTTTGGTGCCATACGAACCAAAACTCATCGACACTGCACTGCTTAGCGTCCATCATGTAATTATAACAAGATCACTTAATAATCTTAATTTATTACTATTTTGTTGTTAAATTTGTAGAAACGTTGGTTGAACGAATACAACACGAGGATCAGAGAATTGGTCGGTAAGGAGTTGAAGGAGAAGAACAAGATGTCCGCATTTTACTGGATGATGGAGAAGACGAAACACATTCCCGGCGCCGCGACCAGCCTCAGTTACCAACCGGTGATCCTAACGACTGCCATCCTCTTTATACACTTTCTAAATTAATTAATGCACCTAGTGATTAGACGATTTTATAGTTACAAAAAAAATATATTTTATTGTTATTACTTTGCAAATTTTAGTTTGCCCCGACACAAAGACAAATTTATGGCGTATTGTTCCCCATTTGCACTTGACGTCATCAAAATGTAGATCATTGATCTTAGTGTAAATACATGCCATTGTCTAATCTTAAGCAAATAAAGATATTTGGTATATAAGCCAGAGATCGCAAGAGCTCATCAACATACTTCATCAAAATGAAGATCATCGCAGTTCTATTATTGGTTATGTCAGTTGCGTTGGCAACGCGTCCTTGCCCAATGGATTACCGTCCAATCTGCGGGTCCAATGGGGTAACCTATGGTAACCAATGCGATTTCGACAATTACAAACTCTCGGATGCAACCGCATTCGTTGCCTACAAAGGTCGTTGCAAGATAACTGTACCATCCGTGCCAGAGTGCAAATGCGATCCTAAGTATCAACCTGTTTGCGGAACAGATGCTGTCACCTACCATAACAGATGTCTCTTGGAATGCTCGAAACACAACGATCGTATTTTGTTCTACCTGTACGAAGGTAGATGCGAAGAAAACCAAAAACGTATCTGCCCTTGCTCATTCGACTACTTCCCAATCTGCGGCTCCGATGGTCACACCTATGCGAACCAATGCGATTTCGATTGCAACAAAGACACTGACAGCACCCTCCAAGTGGCCAAATACGGATTATGCTAGACGACAACACTAAATAAATGATTATTTCAAAAAAAATAATATGTAATTTAATTTATTTACAACCTCTTTCTGATATTCTATTAATTTTAATATAATAAAAGTTTAAAGTAAGGTATATGAATTGTGAAACATTTGTCAATGAAACTTTGAATTCAAGTAAGTTTTATTGCACTATTCACAATGATTTTATTATAATCCCAGCAGATATGTTTCTTAATGCATTGTTGCAAAAAGCCTTCATCAAATATTTACTTAACCACGTTGTCATATCAAATCCCAGATAAATAGATCAGGTATGCAGAGGATTAAAAGATGAAGATTGCATTAGTTGTATTCACTGATTTCGCTGTAGCCATGGTAACAGAGGAGCTATGCTTTGTGTACTTGAGATGATCAAACAAGCGTGCTAAACTATAACAAATTTGTCTTTTGATTATAAATATAGGAATAATTGAATAATATAAATCATTTCAGTGAGAAACATGTACATTTAAATTTTAACATAATTATAATGAACATTCTTAATTAACAAGTCTTTACCTGAGAAATTGTAATTGATTTCATTAGATAATATTCATTAATCAACTTTAAAAATGTAAAAGTAATTTTGCATTTAATTTAAATTATCTTTTTTTTTTGTAGAGGAGAGGAAACCTTACATAGGAACCACGGATGGAGTCGTGGTACTGTGGGATTCTTACCGCACTAAAACCTCTTCCATTCTTCGCCAGCATGCAGGACCTGTATCACTATACTACTCTGCGATGCTGATCGTCTTTGCCTGTTTGGCACTTCCCTTAGAACATGTTAATGCTGGCTTCCATTGTTACTATCCTTGTAGGCCCTCTGCAGCCTCCTCTCGTCTTCTTCTTACTTAGTAGCACCTCTGATATGTACGCCGCTACAATATCCCAGCTGTCCGCACTTTTCAGCATTGATAACATTTTCTGCATCCGCCTCGTGCTTCCTTCCAACCCATCTGCAGCACTATTTAGGTGTTGCGTGTGCTCAGGACTGTCGTCCTCCTCACAGTACCAGCACCTTTCGTCCTCCTTCTTCGCGATGAAGTGCAGGTACTTGCCAAAGCATCCATGACCAGACAGCGCCTGGCTCAGGTGAAATGTTGTTTCACCGAGCTTTCTGCTTAACCAAGGCTCTATTTGCGGAATTAGGCGCCGAGTCCAGACTCCTTTATCCGACCTGTGCCATTTATCTTGCAGCAGTCTGGTTCTAGCAACCGCTGTGGTCGCACCTCTCTGCCTCTCACCTCTCTCCAGAACAAGGAGCTCTATTGGTGGCACTCCAGCTATCACCTGCACTGCGTCTCGGGAAATTGTCCTATACGCGCTGCATATCCTAATTACTCCTCTCCGTTGGACCGTTTCTAGCGCTTTTCTATAGCGTAATACTGTCATTGCTTGTTGCCATATAGAAGCAGCGTACAGCATAATAGATTGTGCCACTACTCCCTAGCAATCTTCTCTTGCTAGACTTCGGTCCACCCTTGTTGTGCATCAACCTGCTTACAGCTGTAGAATGGCTACTGCCCTGATATGCTCGGCATAGGTCAGGCTACTGTCAATGAAGACCCCCAGGTATTTAATGACTTTCTTCGGTGTTATTTCTGTGCCTGATATGGAATATTTTAAAGGTTTTGCTTTCCTCCTTCCGATCAGTAACACCGCTTCTGTTTTTTCTGGCGCAAGTGTCAGACCTCTCTCTGACATCCAGTTCTGTATGTTGCATGTGGCTAAGTTAATTTACATTATCTAAATAACGAAAAGGTTTATTAAATGATATTTAAAATACATGTAACATTAGAGGGTTTATTTAAGTTTTTTTATTGTTAAATTTATAAATACAATTGAA